ATAAGTTATCAAAAGATAGAGTAATATTTCGATACATTTCAATGAGATTATGTTAATTAGTTACCAAAAAATATATCAAAAATTATTTTTATTCAATATATGAATTAGAAACTCGACCCGACACGACTCAAAATAATAAAAAAATATTTTTATTCAATAAAACATTGACTTAATTGAAAAAAATTATATATAGAGGGGTATTATTGTAATTATTTCTAAATATATAAGGTAAAATTATATATTTTTTTCGGGTCGGTCCGTTTTTTTCACCCTAAACCTGAACCCGACCTAACCATAATATCACACTTAAAAAACCTGACCCGACCCAAACAAAATAAAATTTCATCCGACCCGACCCGACCTGACCCGAAATAATAAAAAATTATTTTTATTTAATAAAAACAGTGACTTAATCCGACCCGGCCTGAATTATATATATTTTCGGGTCGGTCCGTTTTTTCACCCTAAACCCGGACCCGACCCGACTCGACCTGAATATCACACTTAACAAACCCGACCCGAACAAAATAAAGTTTCATCCGACCCGACTCGAATATATGAATTAGAAATCCGACCCAAAATAATAAAAAAAATTATTTAATAAAAACAATGACTTAATCCGACCCGACCCAATCCGAATTATATATATTTTCGGGTCGATCCGGTTTTTTCACCCTAAACTCGAACCGACCCGACCCGAATATCACACTTAAAAAAACTCGACCCGACTCGACCCGAATATCACACTTAAAAAACCCGACCCGAACAAAATAAAGTTTCATCTGACCCAACCCGAATATATGAATTAGAAATCCAACCCGACCCGACCCGAAATAATAAAAATTATTTTATTTAATAAAAACAATGACTTAATCCGACCCGACCTGAATTATATATATTTTCGGGTCGGTCCAGTTTTTTTCACCCTAAACCAAAACCCGACCCGAATATCGCACTTAAAAAAACCTGATCCGACCCGACCAAAATAAAGTTTCACCCGACCCGACCCGAATATATGGAATAGAAACCCGACCCCGAAATCATAAAAAAAATATTTTTATTCAATATATGAATAAGTTACCAAAGGATTGATGAGGGTAATATGGTCAAATTTCAATTCCCTCCAACAAGATAATTGAATTCCATCCATTTTTTGATGGAATTAACTTTCCCTTATAATTGAATTCCATCAGAGATTTCAATTCTCTTGAAAAACTTGAACCAAACATAGGAAAGTGGTGGAATTAGATTCTTATTTCCACCAATTCCAAAGGATTCCATCCAACCGAACGCCACCCTAGTATTTTTTTTTTCAATCTTTTCTCTTACCCTTAATTTTCTTTTCTATTTTTATTGCTATTATATATGAAAATTAGGTTATTGAAAATAATTTTCTCTCATTGTCTTAATTTTACAAAAATCATTAATAATGATGGGTAATTGTTGGTTAGCTTTTACTTTACAACCCACTAAAAAATTATAGGGTAAACTATGTATTTAGTATCTAAACTATAAGTTTTAGTCTATTTTAGTACCTAAACTTTTAATTTTTCAAAACCATACCTAACGTTTAGTTTTTATTTCATTTTAGTACCCCTACTCAAATTTTAACGTTGAGCTTTGAAAAAATTAAAAGATTATGTATTAAAACGGACCAAAATTGATAGTTTAGGTACTAAATGTGTTAAGTTTGTAACAATGTAGTACTAAAATGAAACAAAAACTAAAAATTAAGTATGGTTTTGAAAAAATAAAAAATTTAGGTACTAAAACAGATTAAAACTAATAGTTTAAATATCAGATGTGTAATTTACCCAAAATGATAAAGTGAATTGCTCAAATTAAATATTATAAAACAAATTTAACGGTTAAAGGGGTATTGTTCTCCCTAAGGATCTCAAATTTAGGTACTTATATTTATAAGCTGCAGGTGTGTGCACGTTATCAATTATTCAAAAAAATTCTAAATGGATATTATTTTATAATCATCCTAAATTATTTTTAAAAAATTACCAAAATTAAATATAAGACTTATTTACTTTAATTCTTAAAAAACTCAATTAATTAAATTCATTTATGTTCAGTCCAATTAAAACTTTAAAATGAATCGATATAATTTACATAGAGTAAACTACATTTTGATAGTCTCTAAATTTTTAGTATGTTTATATTTTAATTATTAAATTTTTAAAATTTATATTGAAGTTATTAAAATTTTAATTCATTTTTATTTCAGTTACTATCATTAACTGGCCCATGCTATCTTTTATATAAATTAATACTTCCAGTAACATAGTGACACATATTATTATTTCATTAATGGAAAATTAATATATATATATATATATATATATATATATATATGAATTTTGTGAGGATTAAACCAATAACCCTAAAGAAGATATCCAAAGTCTAACCACCATACCAAGTTAGAAAATTATAATATTGATAAAAATAATATTTAGTTTAAATTATAAGTGAAACTATTTTTATTTATTTTATAAAAAAATATCAATCGTAACATAAATTATAAAATAATATAAGGATATATTTTTAATGTCAATGTAAACTTTAAAACTTCGGTGACTTTTAATGTATGCTTTAGTAGTTTAGTTACTCAAATATAATTATCCTAAAAATTTAGTGATTACAAGTGTAGTTTACCCTTTCAAATAATTACACTTCCAATGGGGTGCAGGCAATCGAGCCCCTGAAATTCCCACAGGCGGCATCTATGGGCTGTCGGTTCTCGTCACGCACAACAATTTTCCCGCTAATTTAGCAACCTTATCTTAAAATATTATTATTTAATTAATCATTTTTTACCTTTTTTAGATTATATTAATTCTTAATAATTTTTAAACATTTGACTTTGCCTTGGCTTATCAGATCCTCAACCAAAAAATAATTATATTAACAACAAATAAATAATAATTGGTGCCTTTGTTTGTGACTGCTAAAAAATAATCCTTCTATTTAGGTTTTTTTCAAGATTATAAAATTTTGTTATATTAAGTTCTCTCATTATTAAAGTTATAAAATGATTATTGAGTATCATTTTGTTGAATTCTATGACTATTGAAAGTTACAAAATGATCATCCGATTATTTATATGTTTTCAACTCGTCATTTTTTATTAAAATTTAATTATCGTTTAACTTAGAAGTTAACACGTTGATTGAGATATTATGAAATTATATTTTAATGATATCTAATGGCATCGTCGTTGCTATTAAGGACGTAGTCGATAACATAATGTTTAAAACGTTGGCTCAAAGACATAATATAAATATTGAATCGATATATAAAATACATCTCAAACATATTGAAATAGTTAGATGTGAATTAGTTGATACCTTGTTACATTGGTTAAAGGATAGTTTGTTAGAGTGGTTGTGCATTTATTACAATAAATTTGTAATAATTTCTATTATAATTAAAATGGCTGGCTGTCCATTTTTCCTATATATATGGGGTAAGGGGGAGGTAAGATAGTAGGCTACCCCCAACACTAGGTTGAGAGCAGCTTCCGTAAGAGACCTCCGAATTATGAAATGCCCTCCGTGGGACTCGATCCCACGACCTCAAGATTAAGAACCTTGTGCTCTATTAACTGAGCTGAATGGTCATTTTATTATAATTAAAATGTTATAAAAATAATATTTTTTGTTTCAACTTAAAATGTCATATTGACAAGCTCTACAAGTTGCACTTTTAATATGATTTTTTTAATTAATTTGGAGTAAGTACATGACAATGTTCAAGGATAATTCTCAACCATTTGATATCGGACACTCACACCCTTGACTTCCTGGTACTCAAATTCGAAATTTCAATGAAAAACAATAATTCTTTTACTACCGAAATCGTTTGATTTCGTGCACTTTTAATATGATTTTTAATTAGAGCCGATATATGTTTTTTTTTTAATTTTATATTGACAGATAGGAGACATGTGGGCAGGGATGTCATTTGTTGTGGCATTTAATATTTACTCAAGCACATTAAATTTGGCTCAGCTGAACATCATGCTTCCTCATTAATTTGTCTTCACCCTTTTATTTCCTTACATTTCCCAAACTCTTCACATTAATTCCCACCATATTTATCAACGTCGGACCACACCGATCACTAGAATTTTAAATCAATAATCTGATCATATATATGGATTTAAAAATTATCAGAATAGTTAAAAAAAAGAAATTGGATATAAAAGTAAAGAGTATAACATGAGGACTTCCCAAGAAGTCATCCATCTTAATATTATTTTTTGTTCAAACACGCTTAATTACAGAGTTCTGATGAGATTTGATGTATTAATATTATGATAAATTATTCGGTTATTAACTCATGCTACATTACAAAAGGTATACTTTTCGATCAAATTTGTCTTAGTCTCAAATATTTGTTCATATCATAATCAAACAACGAGTTTAATATCGCTACGACATGATCCTTCAGGTCACGAGCCGAGACCGTGACACATATCAAATACATATGATCAATTAGACGGTAGGAACAACCCTAGACGATATTTTTACATGTGAATCGGTTCAACAGCATTTTCACCGTTAATTTTATATATGTTTGGATAAGTAGACATTAATTATGTAATCTTGTTCTTGCTAGATTCTGAAACCGAACAAAGAAACAAACAAACATGTATCATCGTTTTCAGGAGAAAGGACAGGTACTTTTTTAAGTAAATAAATTTTACTTTTTCAGAGTTCAGGCCACCAAACATGGATGGCAGATGGTGTTGCAGAACACGTAAAACAAGGTAAACTATGCTCAGACATTATGTTGTAAGTGATTATATATGTAATAAAAATGATATTGTACTAAGAAAGCTGATCGATCAACTATCCATTTATATAATGCATGCATGGATATTTGCAAAATCATTAGTCGAAATAATTACTAATGTTAACTGAAACCCGCCTTGGGGAAAACGGATGAAACAAGCTAAATGAAAATGAAACACGGATTGTAGTAAGAAGAGACTGATGGTTTGGATCATCATGCAGCGGCGGTGGCGGTGGCGGTTGCGGAGTTTTTATTGGAAAGATTGTGCTTGTTGTTGTGCATCCAGACCTTGAGGACTCTTCTCTTGACACCAATCTCTTGGCAGAACTGTTGCACCACTGATTCTTCTTGCTTTTGGATTTTCCACCCAACTTTCTCTGCAAAGTTGACCATTTTGTCCTTCTGTTCCTGTGTGAACTTTGTCCTAAACCTTTTCTTCATCATCTGGACTGGCCTGCCGCCGTCTTCATCGGACTCTGAAGGGAGGGAGCCCATCATGTTGTAGGACATTATCATTTGGTGGGGCGTTGGTGCCGCTCTCGAGTGTACGAGAGTACCCGTAGGGTACCCTAGAGCCTCGGGTGGCAGGATACTCTTGTGGTGGTGGTGACCCAAGAGCAGTTTCCTGCCTTGCAACGGGAAACAATAATCATTCAAAGAGGGCTCGCCTTCTACTTCTTTCCTGTGGAAGTTCCTATGGCAGTTACAGGCGGAGCAGGTCAGTGCTTCGATGGTGCCCTCTTCGCCGCTCGGCATGAACTCGCCGCACCCGTCGGTGGCGTTTCCTCCCATGGCGGCCGCATGGTTCTTCAGGCACTCGCGGTACCTCACCTGTTTCTTGTAGGGAACCACATGGTCTTCCATGAACAAGGAGGAAGGGCCATTGGAAAGGCCATGTCCCCCGCCATATGTACTGTTCAAAGGAATTGGGATCTCCCCTTCTGGACAGGAAAGTTCCATTTCTAGGTAATATATTTATAGTGTTTTATTAGGGATGATAATCAAACCCTAATTCCTAGGAGTTTTGAGAATAGAAAATAACAATATCCTATCAAATACTTGGCACCGAGTCTGAAAACAGAAAACCCTTGTGTTCATGAATGCTCAAATCCCATAACAAAATAATAATAATAGAAGCTTAATAAAGAAGAGGAGACAAAAGAGAAGGGTGATAGGTCAACTGGTAAAGAAGAGAAAGAAGCAAACTCAAAATCACCTTGAGCAGGCCAATATAATAGTGTTGACTCAGTGCCCAAGGAAAGGAAAGGAAATGAGTTTAACTCAGTGTACTAATATAACCATGATGAAGGAGAGAAGGATGAGGGATTTGCAAGGGTTGTAGTGAGGACTAAAGAAGAAGAAGACAGAAAGAAAGAGGAGCAGGTTTTCTTTTTTTTAACAGAGAAAGAGGAATTGGGTCAGTTTAAGTGAAGAGCTGAGAGATAAAAAGAAAGCAAAATAAGCTCAAATCAAAACAAAAGTGTGGGTGTGCTTGCTTTGCTTGCACCACCAGCCATTTAGAGAGCACTGTGTCAGAGTGTGCAGGCCATAATGGATGGAATGGAAGGAAGAGGAAAATAGTTAAACCCCCCAAATTACGGGAAAATTTGATTAAATAATATGATAGAAAAAAAAACTCCATAAATAAGGGAGAATTATTTTCACAGATAGTGTGATTATTATAATATATGTTAACAATATATTCCAATGACATAATAACTTTGAGAATACGTTTGAACGATATGACGTTTTTTAAAATACGCTCTTTAATAAGATCGTATTATTAGAACTTTTTTTACATGCATACAGTCAAAAAAAAAATCATATCGTCTAAACATCTTCTCAAACTTATTTTATCATCTAAACATTGTTCAATATAGGGATGGCAATGGGTTGGGTCGAGTTTTTGGGTCACCCGACCCGACCTGAGAATAAATGGTCTTCTACCCATGACCCGACCAAAAGAAATTAAGGTTTCATCCGATCCGAATATATGATTTAGAAATCCGACCTGATCCGATCCGAAATAAAAATATATATTTTTATTCAATAAAAATAGTGATTTAATTGAAAAAAAATTTATATATAGAGGGGTATTATTATAATTATCCCTAAATATATATAGGGTAAAATTATATATATATTTTGGGTTGGGTCAGGTCGAATTTTTTCTACCCTAAACCCGATCCAAACCCGATTTTTTTTAAAAAAAAATCAACCCGATATAATCGGATCGAAACCCGTTAGGTTCGGATTGAGTTGTCATCCCTAATTCAATATACACTATAACAATCATACTACCTATAAATATAATTTTATTCACACCCTACATGACAAACTCTAATGCATTGTCTAATCAAAGTTGACCTCAAAACACATATATAAAATTATTAATTAAATTTAAATACTTAAAATATAATTTATTGATTTAAATTAATATATAATTTTTTTTATAATTTAAATAAATTATTTATTATAAGTATTCTTGAAATTTTAGTAATTGTGTATATTGATTTGAATTAATAAACTGAGTTAAAATATTTAATTAAAAAAATTCAATAATAAATCTAAATCAAAAATTTAAAAAATACCCAAAATGTTTATGTACCGTTTGCTTCAGAAAATATTCATTCGGGCACAAGCATCCAAGGATACCATGGTTCAAATTTAGCATATACTCATCCACTACTTTTCCTTTTCTCTTTTATTTTCACTATAAATATAACACATATTGCAAAATTAGGGTTTAAGTTAACTTTTATTAATTAATATAAAAACAAACAAACAAACAAATAAATAAAAGATGATATCTAAATCTGATATACATTTACATGGGATATCGTGGAATTAATTGAGAGGTGCCATACTTATCATGTGAACTATTTAATATCAACAATTGTACAGACAATTAATTGGTCTAGTGAGATAAGACCTTAAATTCCTCCAGTAACATCAAGGTATGAATTTTGACGATTGCGAATGGAGCAATTTGGGTTGGGAAGGTCGTCATTGTCTATGTAATATCCGGTATAGATTAGTCAATCAATAGATCGAATACTGATAGTTATGCCTAAAACAAATCTCATTTTACCTTTATTTTAACAACATAAAAATTTCAAATATCAATATAGTTAAATATCATACTCCATATAAACTAAGATTACTAGAGGAAGTTAAAACTTTTAACTACATAATTAAATTAAAAATTATTTCATATTTCACGTATTTTTATTTTTAAAATATACATTAATAATTATTAAAAACAACGATAATATATATTAGGATCAATTATTGTTCTTTTATCTTTATTTCTTGTCTCTTATTCTACTAATTCTTCCCCCCATTTATTCTTTTCATGCATTACTACCATCAAACCTCATATTTAAAAACATAAAAATATTAGGATAAATTACATATTTAGTACCACAATTATCATGTAAGACACGTTTTTGTAAAGGGGCTCATCGTTTCAGTAAGACAAGTATTGATTAATATATATATATATAACTCGTCAAGTTAACCATATAACAAAATTATTGAAATGATCTATTCATTAGAATATACCTAGCCCTTGACCCTCACATACAATTTTTTTAATTATTAGCAATATTTTTAACCTCAATAAAGAAACATTATTGGATAACAAAGAACAAGCTTTTGTTCTTGTTCTTCATGATAATAGATTTAAAAGTTGTGCATCTTATTAGAATATGTAAGGACGAATGCAATATATTATGTTATGGGCAATTTTAAACCTATAAAATTTTAGGAGACATACTTGAACTTATAAAATTTTAGGGGGTAAAAACGAATTTTTCAATAAAAATACATGAAAAAATTTAAAACTTATGATAATTTTACATTTTTAAGGAGAGCGCCCGCCTCACCTGCTCTGCCTACGTCCATCCTTGAGAATATGGTGAGGGTGAGACAAAAGAGGAGGATTTGTCTTCAATCAAAACAACACAACATAAAGTTGTCCCTCACATTAATTTTATCACTTCTTTAATTCTCAAATAATGAAAGCACCACACAAATTTAAAGAATAAATATAATTAGTAGTTATGTTGTGCAATAGTTAAATTTAAAATTAGTTTAAAAAAGTTTTTAATTTAAAATGTTATCATATCTTATTTAAAAAGTTATATAACTTATAATATTTTTTGTTACAATCGAAAAATTATATTGTGACAGATTTAGAGTTTATAACCAAAAGAATTATATAATTTGTAATAATTACGGTTAGAATCGAAAATGGCATGAAGAATGTGATATTTTCAGTTTCAACTTAAAATGTTATATTGTCCAATTTTTTTTTAAAAAAAATATGTTTTTGGTAAGATTTTTTTGTTGCAATCCACTTATGCACTTTTTTAGCCTTCTATTAAGAAGTACTTTAGACTCTCTCAAATATGCACGGATCCTTATATTATACATTTATGAGTTATTTAACCCGAGTATTATTTTTTTCTCTAATAATTTAGAATGATTATAAGATAATATGTGTTCAAAATTTTTCTTAATATATTAACAACAAAACGAACCCTACTTACACAATTATTCGAACACAATCCTCTAAGAAGAACAACATTATCTTTTATTACCGAGGGGTTCAACGGTTCAACCTAAATACTATTCGAAAACAAACAAACAAGGATAATTGAAAACCACGTTCGTTATTTTCGGTAATATACCAAATTGCTTCATGTTTAGTCCTTTATATTTTATGAAGAGTTTTTATCTTCCTCAGGGTTCATGCTGATGTTCCTCGTTAAAACTTAGATATAAAAATGTTCCTTAACTTTAAATAGACCTGGTAAATTTGACTCATACCGAGACTCGATACATACTCAAATATGATAACCCAAAATAGATCTGAAACTTGAAATAAACCGAACCGATCTTGACCTAAATTATAGTTTAACCGAAACCAACTTGAATCAAAATCAATCCGAACCAAAGTCAACCCGAACCAAAAGTAACTCGAATCGAAATCAACTTGAACCGAAAATAACCCGAACCGAAAGCAACCCGGATTTAATTTACCCATGCTCGATCCGAATTGAACTTTGACCCGGTTTTAACCCGATAACTGAGTCTTAATAAACAAGTAATTTATTATTATTATTAAATTAAATTAATATATATATTATATATATTTTTAAATATGATAAGTTATAATAAAAATAAAAAATGTTGAGGGTTAATACTACAATCAATCCTAAAATGTATTATGATTTATAAAATTATTTTTATAATTCTAAATATTCTAATTTGATATTCAATTTTAGATTTTAAAGATTCATTAATTCCATTCATTTAAACTATAACTTTTAGCTCTGAATTTGAGATGTGACGAATGTACTCCAATAAATTTTATGTATTACAAGTTATAAAGAGCAGCACTGATAATTAAGACGACAAAGAGTGACGACGGTTGACCCAAACCGAAACAATCTGAATTAACTCAAAATTTTAAATGTTGATCCGAACCTAAACCAACCCGAAAACCTAAAGCTTGACCCGAACCGAAACCAACCGATCTGATTTGACACGACCCGATACCAGACCCGAACTAAATTTTCATAGACCCGAACTAAACTCGAACCTGATCTAACCCAAACTGAACCGAATCCGAACTGAATGCAATTCTAACTCGAAATGACCCTATTTGAAATGATCTGACCTGAACTCGATCCGAATGACCCGATTTATCACTTCTAGCTTTAAATGTACATGGAATGGAAAATTTATTCTCTTAATCGTTACTTTCCTCCTTTTGTACATGTCGAAATATAAATATAAATCACAAGAAACCATGTGTCTCTGAAATTACCTTGTACAACACATTTATTTTAGTATTTAAATTTTAATTTGATAGTTTTTTTCCAATTAAGTATTTGAACTTGCCATTTTCGTTTAAATTAATAAATTTTGTACCAAATTAAATATTAAAATCAAGGTTAGGGTACTGAAGTGT